TAACCGTTGGGAGTCGAAGCAGATCCAAATTTGAATTGTACTAGAGAGCTCACACTACCTTTAATTTCAAAAAAGTTACAAAAGTCGCAAATATCAAGTTTTTTGGTTTCAGTATTTTCATATATTGGTAGATTAGAGGTATTTCAGTTAAATATTCCAGTCAAAAAATTGTTCCAATAATCCAACAAGTTTATGATTTGTAAACATTAAAAAAGGAAAAAAATGGAATTCCATTAATTGTAAATCTACTAATTACTGATTTTTTTTTGAGAAATTGGAGTGTATAACCAACAATAAAACTATAATTAAGTAACTAACCTAAGACAAAAAAAAAATTCATATTCTCTATATTATTTACAATATATCCTAAAATACCCTTTAGGCTTTGCTCTACCTATCTTTTTTCACTGTCTTTTATTTTTCTTTCTTTCTCCATTTCTTTCTTATTAGTCTCTGCAAATCAAACATTTTTTTCTGCTTTGGTAAACACCACATGCCTTCAAATCTAATTCATTTACTTTTTAATTATATCCTTGATTCATTGAAGAATTTTAAATATATAGATGTTATGATCTCGGCGCCGATTCCATTTCTTTCTCCATCAATTTTGCCAAAGTAGAACTTAAACCATTGTTAGAAAACTTAAACCTATTAGAGCATCTCCAACTCACCTCTATATTTGCCTCTAAACTCTATTTTAGAAGCAAATTTGCTCCAACTCACCTCTATTCTCACCTCTAAAATAGAGATCTCTATTTTTTTCTCTATATATAGAGGTGAGAATAGATAATCTCTATTTTTTTCTCTATAAATAGAGTTAAACTTTTTAGAGGAACACATTGGAGTAAAAATAGAGAAAATTTACCTCTATTATAGAGATAGAGCTATAAATAGGGAAATACATTGGAGATAGTCTTACTATTCTATCTAACTAAAGTCTACACTATATAGTTTTTTTTTCACCAAGATTCAAGTGGGAAAGTTCCCAAGATTTGAGACTCAATTATGTTTTTTCTTTTCCTTCCTCCACTCACACATCCTCTCAATCTAATTTATTAGATTCTGTTTAAATTTTCCTGAATCCATCACATTCACATCTATTCTTATCTTTTCACTCATTCTATTCTATTTATCAAGTCTATGCATGTGATATTGATATAGTATAAGATGTTTCTAGTTTCACACACTATTCAGTTCAATGAAATATACATGGCTGTTTTTTTTCAAATTTAAATCATGTTATACACAGAAAAAAAATATAGTTTTTTGAAACTATTGCAAGATTTACACAATTACTTGAATGAGACTAATTCACCATACAAACTTATTTGGGATTTATGTTACTTTTGGCCATGTCATCATAATTATCTCTCTTCTTTGACTTATATCTCTCACACACACGTCACCTTCTAGCTCTCTCCCTCTCTCTTTCTCTATTTCTACATGTTCTCTTCAAAAACCTAAATTGGTCTTTGCACAAAGCTCTGGTGTTACTTTCTTTATTTTGTAACTTATGGTGCTATAAACTTAATTATATTAGTGAAATAGGTTATTCATGCAATTCACCCTTTTTTTTTTTCTTTTTTGTCATAACTAATTACTGATTTTATTCTTCCAAACATTCTTGGCAATACAGTTATAGATATATAAAAGATGGATTTGCTACACTTTTTTTTTTTTTTTTGACATCTTTGGATCGACAAGGCCCGATCCATAGCCAATCCCTACTACGCGGGGTAACGCGACTTACTGGAGTCGAACTCCGGTGGAGAAGGCGGAGTCAAGTGGATTTGCTACACTTATTTTCTTTATTTTTGAAAGAAGTTTGAATCCGTACTATTGAAGATTGATAAATGAAAAAATGATCATTACCTCATCATTATCATTTATTTGACAAAATTAGACCAAAGAATTTGTAATTGAATCTGAGAGTATTCAATTACATACATAAGTTGTTGATTTTCAAGTATTTTATGGATTTTAATGTATTTATCATCTATATACAATATATACATTTTCTAGATTTTATTATAATATAATTCCAATCGAATTTACTAGGTACAAATTCTTCTGAACACCATCTATGATTTGAAGACAAAATAGTGTCCATACCAAAGCACCTGTTTAAACAAAACCTAAAACGTAACTAACAAAGTAACAGATAAAAAGAAAAAGATAAGGGCAACAAATGTTTCATGTGATCTCTCGTAGTTTCCATAAACACAATGCAGAAGACAACACATTACCAAAGCAATAACTAGAACCAAAGCAGTAACACATGTGTCTTTGAGGCTGCTACTTCCACGGGAGAGTCTCCCCCATATCATCACTTTGCACAACTTGCCAGCTTCTTTGTAAAGAGAACCATTGGCTCCTCCTTCAGTGATGACATTATTTTCTAAAGAGCATCACACAGGTTAGATAAGAGATGAAATTACAAGGGTGAAACTAGTTTAGCTTACAAGAGTAAGAGGCATTTACCTTTAGCCTGAAGCTCTTCATAGTTCGACTGAGAGTGAGAGTATCTCTACGTGATGATAATAGTTTGAGAGAATGATCATTCCATTTCTCAATAGGCTTTTTAAGAAGAGCTCTTTGATTCTTCTTTTTGAGATCCTTCTTTCCGGCCAGAGACCAGATAGAGCGATTTCTCTACCTTCCTTGGCTAAAACAGGATTTGGTTGGTCGCAACATCATTCGTCTATGGGCTTCTCTACTTAGATCTTTTACTAATTATTTGTGCTTTTCATAATGGGTTCAATTACTTTCTCTCTCAGGGCTTTTAACTAGTTTGGGCTATTGTAAAACTTTTGGCACCTTTTTTAAATTTTACTGCAACGAAATTGTCAAAAACAATAAAAATAAAAATAAAGCAACCATATTCGAAAAGAAAGAAAAATGAGCGATGCCGGAAAATAAAATAAAGAGGGAAATTATTAAAAAAAATAGAGCAAAACGCAACAGTGTCGGAAAAATCAAGCTGAAAAACTAAAACGCAAATAGTTTGGTCGCTGTATTTTTTTTTTGTTTTCTACCCAACCCTAATAAAACCTGACGCCGTTTCTTCATTTTCTTCCTTCTCTCGCTCACCGTCGCACCTCCTTCATTTTCTCTCTCTCTCTCAAACTCGTCTCTCGTCCGCCGATTAATTCCTCCTTAGTCTCAGGTTTGCTTCTTTGATTCTCATCTAACATCAACAACAGCCTTTCTCATTTCTCGTGGCTTCATTTCTATACACAAAGCTTCTACCTTTTTCTATGCTTTGCTTCGATCGTAAAGTACAGAGCTTTGATAAACCCTAATCTTCTTCGTTCGATTGTAGATAGTCAGTATTTAATTGGAATTAGACAGAGAGATCTATTTGTTGATTCGCAGTGACTTAGAAAACCCTAATTTCAGAATTCCTCAGAATCGACGATGATTGATGGTTTCATTTACTCAAACAATGATATGATTAATATTTCCTCTAATTTTCTTACTATTTTTTGATGAATCAATCTTTGTTTGATTACAGGTTTGATAGAATCATTGCCTGAGGTATCTATTGGGATAAATCAGGGCTAAATTAATGGGAACACCAGAGACATCTCGAGAGCCTTGCCCTGACCGTATCCTCGACGATATCGGTGGTGCTTTTGGTATGGGAGCTGTTGGAGGATCTGCCTTTCATTTCATTAAAGGGACTTACAATTCCCCCAAAGGTAGTCGCTTTGTTGGAGGAACACAAGCTGTGAGCATGAATGCTCCTCGTCTTGGAGGCAGTTTTGCTGTATGGGGAGGTTTATTCTCGACATTTGACTGTTCCATGGTGTACTTAGGCAGAAGGAGGATCCGTGGAACTCTATCATCGCTGGTGCTGAACTGGAGGGTTTCTTGCGATGCGACAGGGGGTTGGCGCGGCTTCAAGATCAGCGGCTTTTGGAGGGGTTTTACTTGCTTTGATTGAAGGAGCTGGGATAATGTTGAACAAGCTACTGGCTCAGCCTCAGAATATGATGATGGAGGATCCCGGAATGCAAGGAATGCCTGGGATGCCCGGAATGCCTGGGATGCAAGGAATGCAAGGAATACAAGGAATGCAAGGAATGCAGATGGGGCAGATGCAGAATCAAGCACAGATGATGTCAGAGAGTCAAAACCAGAGTACAGCTTCTTCATCATCATGGTTTGGAGGGCTTTTTGGTAAGAAAAATGAGGAGGTGAAACCAGGCAGTGGAAGTAAAACAGAGGTGTTGGAGAGTTTTGATGCTCCTCCGGTGCCATCATTTGAGTACAAGTAAGCTTGTGTGGACATCTCTCTGTCATCCAATGGTTGGTTTGCCTACTGCCTTAACAATCAGTTCCATTTCGTCGTTTTTGGTGTATCCTCTGTTCTCTGCTGAATTCTTCTTGTTCATGGAAGAGTCAGCTTACTATGTCCTCTCTCCTTTCACCTATGGTTGTGTTTCAATGAGCTTATGTACTCAATCTAGGAATCTTATCTTTGTGAAACCATTCCACAGATATTGTTGGTTCTTAAATAATGTAGTTATAGATTTTTCACAATAAGCACCAGTGAGAATGTTTGAGCAGTGATAATGAATCCTTTGGTCCGAGATCTTAGCACATTTAAGAGTGTTCTTCACCAAACAACTCAAACACTGCAGTTATAATATAGTTAAAGCAAGTTCTTGAAAACCTCAGAAAAAGATCAATCTAGTGGACAAAAAGCTCAAAAGCAGAGTGGTTTGCAAATTCTTGAGACTGATAAGAAGATGAACAATTCTAACAACAATCATATATCCTTAGCAGTCTATCGAACAAATCAACAAATCATGATTCATGATAATTGTAGTTTGTTACTTGTTAGTAGGATACTAGATGCATAAACTTTGCATATTCGTGATTACAATATATGGATTAAGGAAAGAGATAAGCGTTTTGATTTGTGATAAATACATTTCCTCTTCTAATCCTGGGCCTTTATTAGGCCCAAATTCGACGTCGTAACTTGCAGCAGTTTCGAACTCGAAGGCTCCTTTTGATCTGCTTCTTCCTCAAATCTCAGTATCTCACTGTAGGGTTTTTAGGGGTTTTCTCTCTCTCTCTCTGCAATCATGGAGTCTCTAGGGAAGCTACATCTTCATCAGCAACCAAATCACCTCTCTTTCACTCACTTCTCTTCATCTTTCCCTAAAACACCTTCGTCTTTCTCTCTCAGATCCTTACCCAAATCAACATCATCCTTGAAATGCGTTTCAATCAAAGCTTCATCATCCAAATCCCAAGACTCGAGGCTCTCATTCCTCAAATCCACCTGCGTCACCTTCACTGCTGCAGCGGCACTGTTCCTTGTGAATCTCCAGCTCAAACCTTCTCCGGCGATTGCGGCTCCTGTGGCGGCGACACCGTCAGTGGAATCTCTTAAACAGAGTAACAACGGAGATGTTTCATTGGAAGAAGAAGAGAGATCGCTCGAAGATCATCTTGCTTCTCACCCTGAAGATGTGGAAGCTCTACGATCTTTAATGGAGGTAAGGATCAAATCTAGAAAGCTTATAGAAGCTATTGAATTGATTGATAGGTTGATTGAATTGGAACCAGAGGAGAAGGAATGGCCAATTTTGAAAGCTAATATCTTTAGTTACAGTGGAGATTTAGAGTCTGCTAAAACTGGTTTTGAAGAGATTCTAGTTAAGGATCCGCTTCGTGTCGACGCTTATCACGGCTTAGTTATGGCTTATTCTGATTCCGGTGCTGATTTGAATGCGGTGGAGGAGAGAATTGAGGAGGCAATGGTGAGGTGCAAGAAGGAGAAGAATCGTAAGGATTTGAGGGATTTTAAGCTACTAGTGGCGCAAATTCGGGTTATTGAAGGGAAGCATAATGAAGCATTGAAGTTGTATGAGGAGCTTGTGAAGGAAGAACCGAGAGATTTCAGGCCGTATTTATGTCAAGGGATTATATACACAGTGTTGAAGAAGCAAGATGAGGCGGAGAAACAGTTTGAGAAGTTTAGGAGACTTGTCCCGAAGAATCATCCTTACAGAGAGTATTTTATGGATAATATGGTTGCTACGAAGCTCTTTGCGGAGAAAGCACAGCGAGAGATGGCGGGATGATTTTGTCTTACAAAATGGTAGTCGGCTTGAATGTGATTTTGTTGGTCTTTTCTGTTGCGAATGATTTTAGATGGTTGTAGTCAGTAGTTTGAGCATGGATTTATATCGTGATCGTGTGTTGTAGCATCAATCGAATACTCAATATGGGAATCTTGAATTGCTTGCACTGTTTTTTGAGATGTGCCATTGTCCCAACTCACCTTAAAACATCATTTCAAAAGCAGCAAGCTGAAAATGGTTAAATTCGTGTTGGAGTGCTTCTGACCAAGCCTTGGATACGTTGAAAACAGAGTTGATTTTTTAAGGAACATCACTAAACTAACAAGAAAGCAGCATATGATTTTACAACGCCTGCTCTTGTTGTCTTGCAGAAAGAGTTAAGAGCTCCCTCTGAAGAACCAAAGTATGTCCATATTCAACAGAGTAGTTCTGAGATCAGTTCTTCCTGAACATACATGAAGCAGAAAGTGCGAAAGCATGCTGCGATTGCTAGCAATAGCAGTGGTCGCAGATGATAGAACTAGAAAAAAGTATACCATCAATGGACTTAACAAAGATGTTTATTATATATGTCAAAAAGTTAGTATATACCATCAAGTACTAGAAAGATTTTGACCTTTTGCATCGTTAAAATTCAACTTTTCAAACGGGAACACAATAAGCCTTTGTCACCATTTGATTTGACTCAACAGATTTTCAATTTTAAAAAGAGAACAAAGCTGAACCAAAAAAAATAGTAGAGACTACATAATAAGCAAGTGTTAGAGAGTTATCCAAATGTGAACTATAACTAGAGTGGTAAACACAATCTCTGGGATCCCAAGTCCGATCCTTTTAAAAAACTTGGATATCCCGGAGCCTGGCTCCGGATGCTTGGTAAAAAATCCGCAGCTAGATGTCCTGACTTTATTATCATTCGGATCCGGATGATGTCCAGACTCTGACCGAAGTGGGACCAAATTCTCGAGGTAAGGAGATATAACACATATATCAGAGGAGAGACAATGAAGCTCACGTGTCTCTGGGCAATATTTGAACAACCATTGGTAATTGTTATAAAAGATAAGATCCCCCTCCTTGGAAACAGCCAGCGGCGTGAACCACATGCACCACCTTGAACGTGGTAGCTTAAAAGCTAGAAGACCATCTAGACTTATGGAGTAAGTCTTGCTCCATATTTCTTCATGTGCATTCATGCTACATATCTCTAGTCTCCAGTCAGAATAAACAGACGTAGGCGTATTGGCTATGGTTAGACGGTCATCAAGGTTGGCTATCAGGGTACTTTGCTTGACCCACTTATCCGGAACAGAGACATAATGGAACTCTTCTTTGTGAAGATCCAGTGCTAGAATTCCGTGAACACTTGTAACGAGATACGACCCAGTGGATAACCCAATAGATGGATCCATTAACAGACACGGATTTTTGTAGATTTAGATATCGAACTGACTTGTTTTATTAAATCGTGATACAAGGACTTATATAGAGAACATCTCTAGGGTTTACATAAACCGACAATGACTTGAACGACAAGTAACGGGCCTAAACATACGGCCCAAACTCTATCTATAATACTCCCCCTCACGTTGGAGTGTGAAGATTCTGAACGCCCAACTTGGACATTAGATAGAGAAACTGTGAACGACCAAGAGCTTTTGTAAAAATATCTGCTAGTTGTTCCTCCGTACGAACGTGATGTGTGGTGATGATGCCGTCACGAACCGCATCACGAACCGAATGACAATCTGACTCAATGTGCTTGGTACGCTCATGGAAGACTGGATTAGCGGCAATGTGAAGAGCCGCCTTATTATCACAAAATAAACGAGCTGGCGCAGACTGTTCGATGCCCAAATCTTTCAACAACTTACGCAGCCACTTGATTTCGCGAAGAGCTACAGACATTGCTCTATATTCAGCTTCGGCGGAAGAGTGGGAGACTGTGTCTTGCTTCTTTGTCTTCCAAGAAATAGGCGAGCCTCCAAGCAACGTAACATAAGCACTAAGTGATCTCCGAGTTAAGGGACATGTTTGAAAATCCGAGTCACAATACACTTCTAGTGTTAAATCTTTGCTTGCTTTCAACAAAATACCTTGACCCGGTGATCCCTTCAAAAAACGAACAATGCGTAACGCCGCATCTAAATGAGCCATCCGAGGAGTTTGCATGAATTGAGACAGGACATGCACTGAGTAGCTTAATTCAGGCCGAGTATGAAGAAGATAAAGTAACCGACCAACGAGTCGTCGATATGGTTTGGGATCCGGAAGAAAAGGACCATCATCCGTCGCAAGATGATGATCTGTCTCCAAAGGAGTGTGTGCGGGCCGAGCACCAAGATTGCCGCTATCGGATATGACGTCGAGAGCATACTTACGTTGAGATAAAAAAATACCTTCAGGCCCACGACTAACCTCTATACCAAGAAAATATTTGAGCCGCCCCAAGTCCTTCATGAAAAAATAACGTCCCAAATATTCCTTGAATTTCCGTAGCATATACTCATCATTTCCACATATCAAGAGATCGTCAACGTATACCAATACTCGGATCTCCATATTGTTTCGTGTGTAGGAGAAAAGTGAGTAGTCCTCATATGATTGCACAAAACCAAACTTGAGAAGAGCATCAGACAACTTCTTAAACCAACACCTAGGGGCTTGTTTCAAGCCATACAATGACTTGCGTAGACGACAAACTTTGTCAGGATGAGAATGACGAAACCCGGGAGGAAGCTTCATATAAACCTCCTCGTCAAGATCACCATGAAGAAAAGCATTGTGGACATCCATTTGATATACCTCCCAATCATTGGCAGCAACAAGACGTAGGATAGTACGTACCGTAGTCATCTTGACAACCGGTGCAAAAGTCTCATTATAGTCTTCTCCTTCTACTTGTTTGTTACCTTGGACGACAAGCCGAGCTTTATATCTTTCAATGGTACCATCCGCATTGTACTTAGTCTTATAGACCCATTGACTACCAATTGCAACCTTTCCTGGTGGCAAATCAACAATATCCCATGTCTTATTAATCTCTAGAGCATCCACTTCTTTAAACATTGCATCGTTCCAAACTTTAACTTGAACAGCCTCTTTAAAATTCTTAGGCTCGACATTGGCCGTGATTGCAGCAAGAAACACCTTATGTCCTGGTGAAAAACAATCATCCGAAACATAATCCGTTAAAGGATAAGAGGAAGTACCTTGGACTGTTGACGAGGACAGTGAAGCGGAGTCGGAGAGAACGTGAGGGTTTATCGGATCACTAGTAGCATTGTAGAGCACATAATCCTTTAAACGTACAGGAGGTTGAATTTGACGCTTGCCTTGACGTGGAGGAGGCGTAATTTCACCATGAGAACTTGAAGTATCGACTTCGGACTGCGAGTTGCTAGCCGGTGTCAAGACTGCAACAGAGGAATCATCACCGGCGACTACAGATTTTGTCGGAACTGAACTTGTTTCCGGCGGAGAAGACGGGTCGGAGACTAAGTTGGCTGCGGGAGTCGGTGTGGATACGGAGACCGGTGCAGGAATTGGTTCAGGAGCAGAAACCGTATCAACAATAGAAACTTGTGTAGAACCACTACCCGTGGTGGTTTCCGGCGTACTCCCCCTGTCAGTGGAGACCATCCAATCTTCATCACAAATAATCGGAGATGGAGACAAGGATGCGGGACTAGGAGTAGTATATGCATATGGAAAAACGGTTTCCCGAAAGACAACATCTCGTGAAATTAGAAACTCATTCTTTTCAATATCGAACACCTTCCAACCTTTTTGTGCAAATGGATACCCTATAAAAATACACAAGCGACTTCTTTCTCCAAATTTGTCTTTATCTCGAGAGATATGATGAACATAACAGGCTGATCCGAAAACCCTCAACTGATCATAATTGGGCTTGGAATCATGAAGAATTTCGTAGGGAGAAAGACCTTTGTGAAGTGATGACGGAGTGCGATTAATCAAGTAGGCAGCAGTTAACACCGCTTCTCCCCAGAATTTAATAGGTAGACTGGCTTGGAATAAGAGTGCCCGAGCAACGTTGAGAATATGCCTATGCTTACGCTCAACGCGACCATTTTGCTGAGGAGTGCCAACGCACGAAGTTTGGTGAATGATTCCATGTTCTCGAAAGTACGATGAAAGACACATAAATTCAGTCCCGTTATCACTACGAACCGTTTTAACTGACTTGCCAAATTGCTTCTCCGTGTAAGCAAAAAAATTAGTAAGCACCGTACGTACTTCAGACTTTGCAAGGAGAAGATAAGTCCAAACAGCTCTTGAAAAATCATCAACTATTGTCAAAAAATAAACCGCACCATAAGACGACGGGACACGGTATGGACCCCAAACATCACAATGAATCAACGAGAAACACGCGGTTGATTTATTAATACTAAGAGGAAAAACTTCTCTTGTTTGTTTAGCTCTAAAACACACGTCACATGAATGAGAGCCGACTGAAGAAGAAGATTTTGAAAACACCGGTAAAGAAGAAAGTACTGTAAAACTAGGATGTCCTAAACGCTGATGCCACAAGGCTTGATCGGAAGAGACAGTGGCGGTATGAATTTTTGCTGTAGCGACGTCCGTAAGATAATAAACCCCCTCACGCTCTTCACCGCTTCCAATCAAAGTCCTCGAAAAACGGTCCTGTAAAACACAAATTGTGTCAGTAAAGGTAGCAACACACTTTGTTTGTTTCACAATTTTAGAGACGGATAATAAGGTGCAAGTTAATGTTGGGACATAAAGAACATTAGTCAATGCAACGTTGGTAGAAAGCGGAAACACGCCCATATGTGAGGCAAACGTGTTGCTTCCATCCGCAAAACCCACCGAACACGGTGGTATAACGACAATGTCCGTCAATAAAGAGAGCTTCCCGGTCATATGATGTGAGGCTCCGGTGTCAAGAATAACATTGCCAAAGTGTGTCTTACCAGAGAGTTTATCTGCAGTCCCGTTGTTTGATTGTCCTTTGAGCATTTGAGCAAGAGCTTGTATTTGGTCGGGTGTGAATTGCGGGAGATTGGTGGGATTAGGGCTGGTTGCGTGAGCTGTCATAGCTTGTCCTCGACCGCGTCCTGAACTGCGTCCTCCTCTGCCTCTATTATTCGACCCTCGGCCTCCACTTCTCTCAGACCACCAATCCGGAAAGCCAACAATACTCCAACACTCCTTTTTCTCATGCCCGGTACGACCACAATGAGAGCATGAAACGCGACCCTTGATGATAGAATCTGGTCTAATGTTGGTGTTGTCGGATTGATTAGAAGACATGTCAGGGCGAGAGAATTGGTCATGTTGCTCACGACGAGCCAAGAAGCCGACTGCTTCCTCCTTTTGTTCACGTAATCGGACCGAAGATAGCCTCTGTTCTTCACGAATAACTCTTGAATAAATTTCACCTAGAGAGGGAAGTGGATCCATATTGATGAGCGTAGCACACAGTCCACCAAATCTAGACTCATCGAGACCAAGTACAAATTGATGAATCTTTTCTTCCTCTCTTTCTTTAGCCGGCGCAGAGGTTGCACCGCACGTACACAGCCCGCAAGAACACACAGTGATGGGCTTGTAAAGCTGATACTCTTCCCACAAAGTAGACAATCGACCAAAATATTCAAGAACACTTTGACCATCTTGACGACACAACGCGAGCTGAGCGATAACTTGATGAATTCTTACCTTATTTCCCACGGAGAAACGTTGTTTCAAATCTAACCACAATAAGCGAGCATCAGAGATAAAGGTAACAGTAGATTTCACCTTGGGTTCTATGGAAGTTCGAATCCACCCAACAATCATGGAATTGACTGTCTTCCAGTTTTCATAATTAGGATCATTAGCAGGTGGTTTCGGTATCGATCCATTAATGAACCCTGTCTTTCGTTTTGCTTGAAGAGCGTTTAACATCTCTGTTGCCCACTCGTTGTAGTTGTCACCGTTTAACGAGACCGTCGAGATGAGAGCCCCGGGATTGTCGGAGTTTGCTAAGAGATATGGAGACACCACCGGGGCGTCCGGTTGTTTAGCAGCCTGCCGAGTAGCGGAGGAGCCATCGTCAATCGTGGACATGATGACTTGTTATTGAAAGAGAATAAACTTTGAACAACACACAATCGAAACTATCGATTGTTCTTTGAAGGAGAATCGAAACTATCGATTAACCTAGGGTTTTTTTGAGAGATCTTAGCTCTGATACCATGTAGATTTAGATATCGAACTGACTTGTTTTATTAAATCGTGATACAAAGACTTATATAGAGAACATCTCTAGGGTTTACATAAACCGACAATGACTTGAACGACAAGTAACGGGCCTAAACATACGGCCCAAACTCTATCTATAATAATTTTCTTCCCACCTGGGCCATATAAGTAGGTAGACTCAGGTTCTTCCATTGACCAGTTTCAACATCAAGAACATCGCATCCTTCCTCTCTAGGTAGAAGGCACATCTTCGTTACTTTATAGCTCCCCGTAACTTTGTCTCTACCAAATCCCATTACCCAATTTCCCCTATAGAAATCCGACCCTTCTCCTGAAATTAGTTACACCATTACTGCAAAATCCAAAAACTATTATAAGAGAAAAAAAAAAAAAAAAAATACCGTTTATAAATCGGGAGGACAATGGTTCTGGGAACCGCAAGAGTTGTCCGGTCGAGGGGTTCAAAACGATGATGGAATCTGGTTCAGCTATGCAGACCAAACCGTCGCAAGTCAACAAGGGTCGTGAGTCGCAAATCATCGAGGGTCGTGCGTTGAAGCAGTGTAGATAGACGAACACTTGGTCCCCTAACCGGGCCTCGTGGATGATTCTCGGCCGGTCGCCACAGTCGCAGTTGTAAGCAGCTATTATTTTTCCACTCTTTGAAGCATTCATACGCTTTTCCACGAACATTTTCGATTCCAGGACTGATCTCCATTGTTTTGAGACGGTTTTGAATTTGAGGATTGATTTCAAGGGCAATCGAAGGAAAATTTCTTCCAATAATTCGGGAACTATGTAGATCGAATTAGAGCTTTTTTCTTCTTCCACCATCGTTGTTTGATTGATTGCTTGCTTGCTTGCTCTCTGATTTCAAACTCTAATTCGATTGATTATGATGACTCCGACAAGGATAAGAGTGGTTAAGATCCTTTTTCACCGTTATCGTCATATAAAAAAAAAAAAGCCAAATATTTACAATTTACTGTTTTGGGCTAGTTCAGATTTGAAAAGCCCATCATGATCCGAGATGATGAATCTACAATCGCATTTACGCATTCTTTTAATCTAATCATCTTTGAGATTCTATTCTAAGATTTTGAGGCCCGACTATTTAACAACAAAAACAAAAATAACATTTTTATAAATTTGGCTCTATTAAATATTCTTAGCTAGTAGAGATACTTTGAGATCCACAGTGCGTATTGGATCCATCATACACCAAACTTCTCTTACAACAAAAAGTGGAATTTCCAATTATTGGCTATGTGTTTAGATTTTAATGAGTGAAAATTCTAATAAGTGGACTTTAGTTTATTAGATTTCATTAATCTCTTCGCTTACAACTGTAGAACTTAATTATTTCATCAAAATTGAAAAAAGAAAATTTGATATTTATATACACAAAAAATTGTATATATAAAAAAAAGAAGCTTTTTTAGTCATTTTATTATCAGGTGCATCTATATACCCAAAAAAAAATGTAAGGGAGAAGTTGCAGTGGCCGAACTTGAAATGATAAGTTTAAGAATCATAGGACGAGAGGTGATAGGAAAAGAAGAAGCATAGCCTCAAGATGAAACCTACCAAGGGGGTAGCTCTTATGGTAGTAAAGTTTGAAATTTTACCATTTATTTTGCAACATGAGTAGAAGTAAATTGTTACAAAAATAAACAAGAGTAGAAGTAAATCAGGGATTTTGGGTTTCCACGTTTGGCTTTGGGAATGTTGGAGTTGTCCAAAATTGGGCATTTTTAACCTTTGAGATACTTTCCAATATTTTCAAGGGAGTGATATCTCCAGTCACAGTCACTTTCTTTGCAGCAAAATCTATGTTGAAGGATGTTACACCTACAAGGTATCAAATTCATTAGTTCTAAACCAGCTTTAGACCAAAACCAGTTCACTAAATAATAGACCATGCCGGCTAAAGTATGGACAAAATAACGAAATCATTAAGAGGCTAAAGTAAATTTGAATCGAATTCAGTTCTCTTCGTTGATATTTTTCTTATCCAAACCCGAGCCAAGAATATATTTTGTACATAGCTCATATATTTTCTAAACCGGAACATTTTGAAATTAAACCTATACCTAACCGAAAGAGGGAGCAAATGGCATTCTCGTAAATAAACTAATCACCTTGCATTCTGGCCAAGTGTTTCCTAACTTTCCCTTCACAGCCTCTGCAGTGGAGAGACACTTTAAGAACAACGACCTGCTGCTTCAGAAAATGCAACTCTAATCATCACACTTGTATCAACATTTATTTACATTTATGCCACTCATGATGCTAACAACAAAACAACTTACCTGGTCTGAACTACCAACACAAGTATTCTTCTCCGTCAACGTTATGCCTTCACCAGCAGGAGCTTCAGCTTCTACCGTCATAGCCGGAACCTGACCCGGAGACCCAGAAATAGAATCCGGGTCCGATCCCAAAAGATACCTTGTAGAACCCACATGGGTTTTGATTAAGTCACATGCGGGTCTAGCAACACAGCTGAAACTCTTCCTCGCTAGGCCAATGTCATTGGTAATAAGCTTCAACAACGCCGCTGCTCCGCCTCCCCCGCCACCACCCGTGCTTCTCCGGCCAGTAATGCTTCTCCTGCCTTTATAGATCTCTAGTTTTTTGTTACTCATCTCTCCGTCTCCGCCGGAAGCTGGTAGTTTAATGAAGTCCTCGGCGAATGATCTTCGGCCATCTTTAATGATCGGATTGTGGCGGTCTATAGCTCGGCCGCTACTTCGTTCATCGTCTTCGGTGGTGGTTGATTTGTGAACGTGGTCCATGCTTGAACATATGGCTGTTGATGCTTGCGAAGCGCAAAACATACGTCCCTTCATTATATGGAGAAAGAGAGAGTGAAGAAGTGATAGTAAGAAACCAAAGTAAAAAACACCAAACTTTTGTTAGAACTTGAAAGAAAATATTGATGATAGAATGTTAATATGTTTTATGTGTATATGAGGATGTCTTTACTCGTATATAGAGAGAGAATTGGATTTGAATAGAGACAAGGAAAGTTAAAAGAGTGTAACGCTCATATGGTAAGAGTTATTTGTCCATATATGTAATAAGTTGTTGAGATGGCCTTTATAATTTAGTCGGGTTCCCGATTTTGGAGTTTTATGGTAAAGTCTATAAGAGACAAGACACGGTTACAAATATGAAAAGAAGCAATAAGAGTATATAAGACTATTTAACTTTGTTATAGATTTGGATGGATGCTAATCACGGATCACATTATACCACAAACTAAACTAACGTAACATAATCAAATTCATGAGGAAAAATATATAGCATCGGAGACAAATGCTATATATTAACACTGATAAATACAAATATTTTAAAGCATTTAGTTAAGTATTAATTGTTAATGTATTGCATGCTCACTGTCACTACATGAAGATGCTGGGCGTGGGACATCATCCTTCACGAGGCTTTTGGCTTTATATTCCAAATCTTACTTCAATATTTTTTGTCTGTTTTTATTAAATAATACTCCCTCCGTTTCGTTTTAGTTGTCGTTTAAGGTTTTCTCACACAAATTAAGGAAGACATTAAATTTTCTGTTTTACCCTTTATTAATATATCTTATAAATTTTTTCATTGGCCAAAACATTAAAACAATAGGGATAATACTGGAATTTTTACCAAACATTTGTATTGAAAACCTAAAACGACAACTATTACGAAACAAAATTTAAGTCCTAAAACGACAACTAAAACGAAACGGAGAGAGTATGATAAATGAAACAATCTAACTGTGTGAGAGAGAGACGAGACAGATAACAACGGTCAAAATCTGACAAAATGTTGTGAAATGAGTATTAATGGAGCATTTCCTTATAAATGGACAACGTGATGCATAAATGTTAGAGCCAGACACAGACAGCAATTTGTAGAATTACCATAATTTATCTATCTTGTTCTCAGCTTTTCACTAATTAACTAATGTGGATTGTTTATTGAGATCTGCAACAATTGGAAACACCAGGAATATTCTGTGTTTGGAATCTTTGGATGTATAAAGCAAATGAGGGTATATCCGAATTTAACCTCTAAAACCTAGTCTTTAGCCAAAATTGAAAATTCAGTTCAAACCGTTTACTAAACTATCGTTACATTTGACTCAATAATAATTTATGAACTGTTGTGTTTCCTATTTATAAAGTTTTTTAGAAATCATTTAGGCTTTGCAAATATGGGCTTTATATGTTAGAAATGAGGGGGTTATTCACAATTTCTGGTTTATGTATTGACTAAAGCCCATTGGGCTAAAGTTTCAGTGTAGCAGAGATGTTTCCGGCTACGATAATATGTCCACGAGATGCGAGACAAGGCAAAGGCAAAGGCAGTGCTAACTTAAGGACCTTATCAGTAGCGGAAATCCGAAAATATATGTGTCGTTTCAGGTGATTGTCTTTAGACAGGTGGGCTGAGTTGAAATGAATGGGCCGGTCAAGGCCCAGTCGAAGTCTGCTAAGCAACTTAAGCCCAGGAACAAGAAACGGCAGATGTGAGAGCGTTTTGGTGTTTTGATGGTCACTGGTCGTACAGTGTTGTCGGGTAGCACCTGCAAGAACGGCGAAGGCTCAGCTTATAAAAGGACAGTGTCATCAAGCTTGGAGGATAAGCCATTCAGTCATTATTGAGAGAGAAAGTCTAGAGAGAGAGTTGTGAGAAACAAGGGTTTGAGAGTTTTACTCTTGAGTGTCTTCTTGTGTGAAACTCTTTGGTGTGGGTTTTCTTTCTGTAAAGGGTGAGAGTGGTGTGACATAGAGAGCTTGTACTGTTCGGTAAAAGATAAGAGTGCCTTGAGAGCTGGTTGAAGCTCTCCGAGACGTACCTTGACTGATTTGGTCTTGGGAACTCGTAAATCTCGTGTCTTGTTTCTTTCTTGCATAACAAACTACAGCAAACAAACATAAAGGTTAGAGCTTTATCACAAGATCAGAAACACTTGGTGAAAGACTCAACAGTGGTAGCAGAGCCAGGTTACCAGAAGTTTCTGAAGGTAAAGTTTCAATCTTTAAAAGCTTTAAGACCTCTAAAGGTGTCTACTGTTAAAAACTCATAAAGGTCTCACCTTTAAGACTCATTTCTTCACCGGTGCTAGGGTAGAGGGTCTTGAAGGTTATTTCTAGGGTTTTACAGAAGGAAAGTAGAGGAAAGGTGTGAGCTTTGGTGATTTTACCTGAAAAGGTGATAACTTTGGGTGAGTTTCAGACTAAGGAAGATGTTGGAACCTACTCAAGGCAAGTTTGAAGTCAGTAAGTTTGATGGTGAAGGTGACTTTACTCTCTGGAAGCACAGGATGCGCGGTCAGTTGGAGATCTTGGGTTTTGGCTCCATGCTTAAGCCCAAGAAACCTGAAGAAGAGGGAGAAAAGTCAGATCCACTATGGGATGAGAAAGATCAGAGAGTCAGAAATCTCTTGGGTCATGGTTTGACAGATCCTGTACTGAGAAAGGTGATGAAAGAGCCTACTGCATATGATATGTGGACTGCTCTGGAAAATGAGTATCAAGCACAAACCTTGCCAAATCGTTTCTACCTGAAACAACGCTTCTTCAGCTTCAAGATGGAGGAAGATCAGAGTCTGGATAAGAATCTGGATATATTCAACAAGCTGGTGTTAGATCTCTCAAGCGTAAATGCAGATATGGGAGAAGAAGACAAGGCTGCTATACTCATGAACAGCTTACCTAAGAAGTATGATAATCTGGTTCACACTCTGAAGTACAGCAGCAGCAAACAGACTATCAGCACTAAAGAAATCATCAGATCAGCTTACTCTATTGAACTAGAGCTTAAGCAAAAGGGAGTGACAACTCAGAAATCTGCTGATGAAGGTCTATTTGTGCAGTCAAGAGGAAGAACAGATAAAAGGAGTCAAACAAAAGGGAAATCTAGCAGAAGTAAGTCCAA